CCCTAACCCTAACCCTAACCCTAACCCTAACCCTAACCCTAACCCTAACCCTAACCCTAACCCTAACCCTAACCCTAACCCTAACCCTAACCCTAGCTACTAATTCTTTTACTATTCTGGTTCTTATATTACCTCTACTTCTTGCTTATTTAATCGGGAGGAAGTAAGGAGAAAAAAAGGAAAAGTGGCCAGAGAAGAAGAAAGCAGGAGAAAAGAAGGAAAAGAGAGAAGAAAAAGCAAAGGGCAAGCAAGAAGGGCTTTATATACTTCTTAAAGCTAAACTAGTATTCCTATATAATATTTCTTGCTTAAAAAACAAGACTAAAAAAAATAGATCTACTTATTACTAAATACTATAGGAGTATTTATTAAAAAGCAAATCAGGAGCCTAATTAGGAATCGAATCTAGGCTATAGAGTTTACTAACTTTATATATTACTATTATATTATTAGGCCTTTTAGTAACTACTATTTAATTATAGTTAGTTCTTACTTAGCTTATACTAAATAATAGAGTTTTATAAAGTAATTTCTTGTTTTAATATATAAGACCTAGCCCTATAAGCAGGTATTATAGCTATACTATAGCTATAGATAGTAAATGCTATTATAGCTAACTAGGTACTTAGTTATCTAGTATTTATTTTTAGGCCGGGGCTTGTATTCTCTTAGCTCGGCTATATTCCTCAAGTTATAGCTATTAAGAAGCTTTATAATTGCCTTGAGCTTATCTCCCAAAAGTTAATATAACTATACTTATAGGTACTACTTTTAACTATATATCTCTAGAATAATATAAGACTTATAAGTATAATAGATAATAATTCTATAAGCTAGATTATATAATAATATAACGAGAATATATTTTAAGACAAGGAAATACTTATTAAAAAATAGTAGGAAAAGTGCCCCTTTACTAAAATCCCTTTTACTAGAAAGTATATTAGTTAGTAATATATATACTAATTAGTATATAGGTATTCTTACCTTTTACTAAAAAAGGGGCCTTATATAAGGAATAGGTATTAACTAGCCTCTATATTCTAGCCTCTATATTCTATAATATATAATAAAACTTTATAGTTCTAAGCTTACCCTAGTTTAGCTAGAGTAAAAGCTGCTATATAATTGGCCTAAATATACTCGTTTCTCTTAAGTAATACTATTTCTCTAAGCTAGAGTATATACTCAAGTTTAGTCTAGAATATCCGCCGGAAATACTTCTATAGCTAATTACTACTATTTGCCCGTTTATATATCCCGTAATAGAGTAGTATAACTATATTAGGGAACTAATATTCTGCCTTCTTATACTCTAGATCTGCTATCCGGCAAATATCCTATAGCTAGTAGTAGTTCTAGTAAACTATATACTACTAAATCTACTTCTTTTCTTCCTTCTTTCATATCTAGTATGCCTCGTTCTTTATATAGATCTAGTAGAACTGCCGGAAGCAAGTATCTAATATATAATTAAATTTATAGCCAAGTATATAATAATAGAAATAACTACCTAATATAACTTTAAGGTCTCGCTTATAGCTATTAAGTACCTAATCTCGGATATAGTCTTGCCATAATACCTTATCCGGACTAGTAAATTATATTCCTCCGGTTACTACTAACTCAAATTTCAAGTCGAGAGGCCGGGCTTTAGTATAAGGCTCTTTATAAACCTAGTATATCTCTTTACTTACTATATACTACTACTAATTCGGCCAATTATCCAAAAACTAGCTAAGAATATCCCGGAAGTAGTATTACTAGGTTAAATATAGCTATATAGCTTCCTAATTAAAAGAAAGAAACCTATCTACTTATGGCTTCTATTCGGAATATAAGAAAATAATAAAAGAAGCCTTCCTATTATCTTGGCCTACTTTACTAGATTCCTAAGAAAAGGCAGATACTTTACTAGATATATTTATATAAACTACTTATTATATATAAGAATAATTAAATCTAATTCCGAGAGCAGATATAGCTATAATTATAGGCTAGTCTTTATTAGTAATTTACTAGGAAAGAATAGCAGCCTTTTCCTTATTAGACCCTAATTCGGAGATATATAATAGATATTATAGAAGGTTAGTAAGCTAAGCCACTTTATTCCGTATATAGTAGTAGATAATAATCTTGTTCCGGAAATAATTAAAGATCTCTTACTTAGGCTAGTATACCTATACCAGATTAGTAGCTCTTTTAATTAAGGGCCCGGATCCAGTTTTAAAGCTAATTATATACTTAATATTAGGCTAGTTAGTCGACTTCCGGATAATTCTGGACTTTATAAGCTTATTATACTTAATAAATTCTTCTTATATTACTAGGGAAAGTATAGCTATTAGCCAGACTATCTATATCCTAATCTGCCGGATATACTAGCCTAGTTAGGCTATATATAGCTAGTAGTTACTAGCTATAATAGTAAGATAACTCTTATTAATTATAATATAGTCTAGCTTCTGCTTACTAACTAGAATATAATAGTATTTAAGAAAGTCTTAAATATATATAGCTTTAGCTAATATAATAATTAATAAAGCTAACTATTAGTAGTTAATAGACCAGATTAGTAGCCGGATATCTACTTTATAAAAGCATTTTAGTATATTGCCCTATAGAGTAATTATTAGTAGAACTAGGATTATAGTTCTAGTATCTATAATTATAGCTCTAATTATAATAACTAAAGTCTTACCGGAGCTAGTTCCTATTACTAGAACTACCTGCTCGGCTAGCTAAAGCCCTATAATAGCAAGTACTCTATTCCGCTAACCGGGAACCCGGAATTACAAGCCTAGTATATTATATAGTTTTCGAGTAATAGTAAGTAAATTAGCCTCGAAATATATATCTCTCCTATATATCTAACTATACTTAAAAGTATCTAATATTTATAATAATAGTATCTCTAAAGTATCCTATAGCCTCTTTCCCTATAGAATATAGTTAAACCGGAAGAATATATACTAACTTTCGGATACTTAATAATTCCGGTATAATAGAGTATTTATAATAAGTATTATTATTCTAGTATATATATAATTAAAAGTATAGTATATATAATTACTTAGTTCTACTAAAGTAACTAGATCTAGCTTATCCTTAATATTTTTTCCTATATTTTTCTCAAGATTAAAATTCGCCCGTTTTTTAATAGAAAACTTCTCTTTTATAATTAATACTATAAACTATTACTAGTTTAATATATATAGGTATAATATCTTAGTACGAGTATATACTTTTATTAAATAGGCCAAAAGCGTTCTATTAGCCTATACTATTCTGTCTAGCTTAGCCCAGAGATATAGAGAAATAAGAGTACCTAAAGTCTATTATTAGAAGAATAGTTATCTTAGAGATAGAATATATGTAATATATAAAAGTAATAGATCCCTAATTACCTTTAGTAAGAATTAGATATTATTCTTATATATACCGGACTACTACTAATCCTTATAATACTGGGTATAGATTATAACTAGCTTCTCCTATATTAATAAGTAGTACTATTAAGTATTATTATACTATATTACTAATAGTAACTCGGATACTTGTAATAGTGGGCTGCCGGGGATATGAAATAATATTAATACCTGCTCTAGGAATTCCTGAGTATATATCTCGTAAATAGCTATAGCCTTTAAATATAAGACTATACTTCTATTCTTGCTATTAGTTAAGAATATAGCCCGGAGCTTAGTATTACCCTAGATCCGCCAAATAAGAGCGAGCTTAGTATTCTCTAGAAACTCGATATTACTAGGATAAGAAAGCTATAAGCTACTAAAATCTTCTAGATTTAGGTTATCCTTTAGCCTTTATAATTCTATTAGGATAAGGTCCTTAGCTTAGAACAGGAGCTTATTATAAAGCAGGATATAGGCTTATTAATATTCGGAAATTACTAAGTTAGAGATCTATAATATCTGTAATTTTATTTTATAATATTCTATTATTTACCTGTCTAAGAACTACTAAGCTTAGTATTTTATAATAGTAGCTTTTTTAATCTTAAATAAGTATAGCCTCTATTATAAAATATACCCAAACGGGATCTTAGCTAGCTACTAGAAAAACTTCTTATAGATCTTAATAAGAAAGACGGGAATTTAATCTTTATTATCTTGCTCTTGGAAATAAGTATAGTTAAAAAGTACTAGCTAAGTAGTTTAGGTTAGAACTAATAAATAGCTATTGAAATTTCCCGGCTCTTTCTATAATTCCCGGCCTTTCCTATAGACTTTCTTACTTAGTATAATATAGAAACTTAAAATAGGGAACTTAAATAATATACTACTAATAGTATAGTAAATTAGAGCCAAGTAAAGTCGCCGAATAGTATACTTGAGAGCTAGCTTAGCCTCTTCTATATTCTTAATAGCTAAGGCTTTTATAATCTTATTTATAGCTTGGATCTATAAAATAGTTGGCTAAATAATATTTCCGGGTAATACTTATTCTAGCTTAGCCCGAGTAAAATGGCTGCCTTTATAATATACTATATAGTAGTAATATACTAATAACTACTTTATAGTAATAAAGTAGGTAACTAGGATTAATATATTCTTGAAATACCGGAACCTATCTGCTTTACCTAAAGCCCTAGTATAGAATTTATTTAGGATATTAGCCCGCTACTATATTATTTTCCGGTCTAGTAAGGTATTACTATATAACTGGTATGTGTCTCTTAAGGCAGCCTTGGCTATAACTAAAATTCGGACGAGATTAGGATCCTTAGTATTCTTACTATCCATATTAAGCTCTTTCTTTAGTAGTAGCTTATACGAGCTCTAGATCTTCTCGTCCTTTAGTATAGTTAGGTAATATGGAAAACCCGTTATATTATATAGCTATAGTATTCTTTCTGACCTTGAATCTCTAATATTCTAGACTATAGTTACTTGCTTCTCAAGATTATATTTTATATTCTTATAATTCTTCTCTAATTACTTAAATAGTTCCTTCTCTGGCTTAGTTAATAATATAGAGCCTCTGGCTATTTCCCTGCCTTTCTCCCTATCTACTACTATAAAATAATTAATCCGGCCTTTCGTAGTAAAGTATATCTATAGCTTGTACTCTTTCCACGACTAACTACTCTTATGAGACCTTGCTTCGGTCTTGTGGCAAGTAGCCCAGTGCTCCTTTATCTTAGGGAGATGGCGGGTACTATAGCTATACTACGGCTATAGATAATAGATACCGTTATAGCTAACCAGGTACTTAATTATCTAGTACCTGTCTTCGGGCCGGGGCTTGTACTCTCTGAGCTCGGCTATACTTCTCAGGTTATAGCTACTGAGGAGCTATGCAGTCGCCTTGAGCTCGTCTCCCAAGAGTCGGTGTGACTACGCTCGCAGGTACCGCTCTTGACTACGTACCCCTGGAATGACGCAGGACTTGCAGATATGGCAGATAGTAACCCTGTGAATCGGATTATACGAGAATATAACGAGTACGTACTTCGAGACGAGGGAATGCTTATTTAAAGGGGGGTGGGGGGTGGTAGGGGAGGTGCCCTTTTACCGAAATCCCTTTTACCGGAAAGTGCATTAGTCAGTAGCGCACGCACTAATTAGTGCACTGGCATTCTCACCTTTCACCGAAAAAGGGGCCTCATATAAGAGGTAGGTAATAAATTTATTATATATATTATAATATATTAAATTCTAAAATATATACTTTTTATTATAATATATATAATTAATTTAGTACTTAATTTATAGCCTTTTAGGACCTTAAACTAATATAAAGAAAGTTATTAATAATATAATATTGGTTTTATTAAAATATATATATTATATATATTATACTTTTTTGGCTCTTAATATATATATTCTTACTATAAAATTGCAATTAATCTACTATATAACTAATATGTAATATATAGCTATAATCTTTTAAAAACCTAGTAATATATAATTATTTTGGTACCTAACTTATAGCTATTTGCCCGTTATTTATTAAGTTATTACCAATATTATATATATTATGCTTTTTTGGCTCTTAATATATAGCTATAATCTTTTAAAAACCTGGTAATATGCGATTATTTTGGTACCTAACTTATAGCTATTCGCCTGTTATTTGTCGAGTTATTACTAATATTATATATATTATACTTTTTCGGCTCTTAATATATATACTCTTACTATAAAATCATAATTAATCTACTATATAACTAATATATAATATATAGCTATAAGCTTTTATAAACCTAATAATATGTAATTGTTTTAATACCTAATTTATAGCTATTTGCCTGTTATTTAATATCGAGTTATTAACTATATGATTTTGGTAAGGGAGCTTCTTGCTAATATATGTTTTTCAAAACCGCCTCGCTTACATGCCCGCTTTTCAGGCATTTGATAGAGAGTAATATGCCTTATAAGCTTATATAAAGGAAGTTAAACTATATATCTATTAGAATATTATAATTAAGAAAGAAGAGAAGTTATTATAAGGATTATAATAAACCCGCTCTTCTAGTAGTCGCATATAATATTTGAGCAAAATACTATATAAAGGATAGCGGCGATAGAAAACAAAAGTAAGATCCCTCGTAAATACTACTATTTAGGGCTCGCCATTTTGCCTTATTTGGGAATATGGAGAAGAGTTAGCTTAGAAGAACAAAACTTAAAGAGCGAAAAGAGGCTAAATAAATAGAAAGTTTAAAGTATGATAGGTATAGTAAAAGGCGAATTAGGTGTCGTTAGTTTTTTAGTTAACTTTTTTAAGCGGGGTCCATTTCCAGAAACTTGTGGCTGTGCCACCCTTGCCTGGTTGTACTTTAAAGGTACCGCCGCTGACTGCAGAGCGGAGCGAGCAGAGGCAGAATTGGCGGTTTACCCCACCATCCTGCCCTATCAATCCTCCTTCCTTTTTTTCTCCCGCCAGAGTCAGCGCTTTCGTGTTAGCGATCATGGCGCCGCAATTGAATGCTGTAGAGCATATTTTGATCAAAACTTTGCTTAAAGAAGGGTTTGAGACCAAGCTAATAGCCTCAGAAGCCTCGTGCAGCGTGCGCGCCGTCCAGAAAATCAATCCGCCTGAAGAGACAGCAGTCCGAAATGCCCACTACAGTACCCCAAGAACAAACCGCGTCGGCCGTCATAGCTGCATTACACCACCCATGTAAAAAACCCTCTGATATACTAATGAACAGCCTTACTTGTATCCATGCGAGATGGCAGACTTCCTCCATCGTAGGTTTCGTAAAGGGATATCGGACAGATCGATCGGTCGGACAATAGGTTGGACATCTTCTAGCCTGCTAAACAGGTGGCGACCACTCTAGACCCCTGCGTCCGCTTACCTTTCTGTTCCACTCACCTCTGCCACATCTGTGCCTGAGGATTGAGTCAGGTATCCGGTACGGAAAGCCGTAAGGATCAAGTGATCAAGCGATTTTCGAATCCGGTTTTCGACTTTCGATGTCCGATTTGTGGCACGTGCGCACCCCACCAAAAATCGCAAATACCATACACACATATCACGCCCACATACTATACCCTCTCCCTGTGCCTCTATTATTACTTCAAATATCTACTTTCTTTAAATTCTTCTCTCCCTCTCCCTATATATATGGATAAGAGAGGGGGCTTATAGGGGGAAAGGGAAGGGGGGGGAAGGGGGGGCAAAGCGAGGGAACTTAACCAAAAATTTATGTCGCTAAATTTTTAGTACCTATAGCCTGTAACTTAGTGACCGTAGCCCTATAATTTAGCGATAAGTAGCCTATAATTTAGCGATAAGTAGCCTATAATTATAGGGTTCCTTTTTCTAGCGAGTCGCGTACCTCGAACTTCGCTTTTCGCTTTCTACTTTTCACTTTTCACTTTTCACTTTTCATCACTCGCCCTCCATCCCCCTTTCCCCCCCTATCCCCCACCCACCTCTCACCCCTCTCCTATATATATATAAATAAGAATCAAAGAGAGAGTAATATTTTAAGCAGTAATAATAGGTAGAGGTACAGGGAGAGGGGGGTGTGGTATGTGGGCGATTTTTGGTGGGGTGAGCACGGGCCACAAATCTGACATCGAAAGTCGAAAACCGGATTCGAAAATCGCTTGATCACTTGATCCTTATCGCTTTCCGTAGCCCTCCCCAGCCCGCTCTATCCGCGTGCGGGAGGCGAGCGTCGCAGCGGCCTGGCTACAGCAGCTCTGCAGCCACCAAAACCCCGAGATCAGCTAATTAGTTGGAGAAGGCGCCTCAGCTGATGACTCGCCTAATGCCTTATTGTTCACTCTAACCTCAACGGAATTTTAGTCATGAATATCTATTTTCTAGCAGAAGAAGTTCATCCAGTGCCGACGCGCAGACATTGTTTAGTGGCACTAAATGTAGCCGCGAGCTCACTCGGGAGGAGCCAAGTGCCATGTCGGGAAAGTTCTCTTTTACGATTCCCAACTGCGGGTCGAAATTCCAAAACCCGAGATCACGAATTATACAGCTCCCTGAAAGCACTTGGTTGATCCGACAGAGCCTGCGGCGAATCAAATTCAACCAACGTTCCCTCACTCAGTACTGCAACCTTATCAAAGTCAAGAACCGTGTCCAGCCGATGTGCAATCGCAATGATAGTTGCTCCAGCAAATTCCTCTCGAACAACGCGTTGTATCAGCATGTCTGTGGTAATATCAACGCTGCTAGACACCTCATCCAAAACTACGATCCTATTCTTCCGCAAAATAGCTCGTGCAAGGCAAAAGAGCTGCCGCTGGCCATGTGAAAAGAACTCGGCATGAAGTTCGGCGTCTACTGTAGACCGTCTTTGGATTCGACGATGGCCCACAATTGTACTTTTTGCAGCGCTGTACTAATTTCCTCATCCCCGTGGAGGTTCTCTGAAGACGCGTTGAGTCTGATGCTGCCTTTCATGAAGAAGGAATCCTGTGGAATAGTGTTCAAGCAGGACCGAACAACTTGTCGTGGGATTTTAGTGATGTCAACACCGTCGACGAGAATGGAGCTTCAGGTGCAGTCTCGAGCATGCGGAAGAGCGTCATAATGAGAGAGCGCTTACCACTGCCGCTGCGACCGCACATTCCGATTTTCTCGCCGGGTTGGGTTGTGATATTGATGCCTCGAAGGATCGGCCTTCCAGAATGCGTGAAAGATGCTGAGAGATCCTTGAGTTCGACTTGTTCGGTTGCAGGCCAATCTTCAGTAACAGACCGGGTTTCACAAGAGAGATTCTCGTTGGGAGTGACGTCTGCAAAGGTCTTCAGCCGCCCGTATGAAGACAGCAAGCAGCCTAGAATGCTGTGAATATCGCGAGGAACACCTGAACGGATTAACGTCGGCACTGGATTTCGACATTGTTGCGTACCAATTTGTTGCTATGTAACAGGCTTTTAGACACTTTCCTGGATTGGTTTTGCAATGAGCGTAGTCGAAATGGCAGGACGAGCAACACAATTGTTGAAGGTACAGTACAATAGAAAGAAAGTAATTCTCAAAAAGAGACGTAATGTAAAATTGCTCTGTCATCACGGGACCAAAGAAATACTGACCATGTTCAAAATCGGTAGCATTGGAAAGCATCGCGGGGGATTTAAGTGACTCTGTTTACTAGTGAGAGGATTAAAAGGCTGTTGATCTGATCTCAATAAATAGATATGAATATCAACCAACCAACTAAGTTTGTGACTCGCAAAGAATGCCGCACAACCATGCATGGGTTTGAGCCCCTGAAAGCATGGCTGCTAGGCGCTAAAAATGCCCTGAATTCCACAGACTTACGCGATTAGCCTCAACTGATTTTGCGAATTCTTATTCCCCTTCTCTTCATCCTCAACTAAACTAGATACGGTTTAATTCCATGGTTGGACTTTCTATAACGTTCTTCGGCTTCTCGAATCTTTTAGCGTCGGAGATCTGAGTAAGATTGCTATATCGATCAACCTTGAAGTGTTTCTAACCGTTATCTAATACAAAACAACTAGTGCATCCTTTGCTCCTATAGTTAATGTTCTCTACCAAGCCAACCTATTACTCATGTTAGCCGTGATGTTTGGAAAGTTAATGCAAAGCTTCCTCTCAGGCCTCTAACCAGAAAGGGCATTCTTCAGCTGAGAAACTTACGAACAGAAGATGGCAAGCAAAAGATTAGCAGCGGCGCCTGTATGCCTGGAATGGACGGAAGATCTGAGGCTTCTGAGCAAGCCGACGTCTTCTTTGGAGACTAGTTAGGCGGTATATATCAGACGGACCGCAAGCTCAAAGGTTGCTTGATGACACATTGGAAGGTGGTCATGATGGAAACTGGTTCCATGTTATGTTATTATACAGTACGCCACACTAATAGGTTGGCAGGTGACTGTTTCTTTGCTATCTGTGCTCCGCTCCACACCTGCCAAAATATAGGAGAATCAAAAGTCACCAATCATCCCTTTCTTTTCGAGCGTTATTTCTGGATGCATGTTTTCCCCAGGCTCTGATCACGTCTGCGATCTCTTCGTTTGATGCGTCATTGAACTCTCTAGACCCCTGAGACAATCTTGCAAGTGATATGTGACCCTTGACAGACGATCCGAAACGCTTCTCCATCTCTTTATTGATCCCCTCATAGGTGTAGCCGCCAACGCCCTAAGCAGCTGTGTTTCGAGGTTAGGACATGAGGTGACCACTAAATGGGCAATGCCTACCAGCTATTGGTTTGAGAACGACCCCACCCAGTCCTATTGCAAGGCCCTTGCTGAAGCCAGCAAACCCTTCATGTCGGGCACCTTCAATCGGGTGCAGAAATAAGCCTGAGATGCCGTCATACAGACTGTATCCAATTTCCTGTTCCGGTCAGATATCAATTTGGACCAGAAGACTAACTGCCTTACAGTGTAGTCGATAGTTTACCAGTTCGCAGTTTGAACTGCAGTTCGAACGAACTAGTTGGCTTTTCTTAGAACTATAAACGGACTAGTAGGAATATATACTTCGCTAGTTTAAACTGTAGTTTAGTGGTTTAGTGGGTCTAAACTACAGTTTAAACTAATAGTTTCCTAACAGATTCCCAATAAACGGATTATTATATCGCTTATCCCGTTCCCTAGTAAATTAGCATAGAATTAGATAGCACTAGCAAAATAATATTAAAATTTTTCTTCTACTACCAAGCTAAATTACATACTTGAGGCTATTCGCACATTTCTTACTAGCTATAATTACCTACTATATCCTCTTAATTAAGGGGCCGTAGGGCTCTCAAGTGTCTAGCTAGCCAGTCAAGGCTCTCCTTTGGCCAAATGACCTCTAACCCTTTGATAAATAATAAATTAAGCCAAGAATTAGCTTCCTTTATACCGACCTCTCTAATAGTCTCTTTAGTACTTTATTTATTTAATAGTATCTAATTTTAAGATCTCCTAGACAAACCATTTCTTAAACTCTTCCGATTCTCTATACTAGTATCCGAACCTACGAAATTAAAAAGAAAGTATAAAGCTTGGGTTTTTAATTATATAGAAAGTATAAATAATATATAGAGGGTTTTCTATAATAGTAATAGAAAGGAGGTTTGGCTATATAAATATTATACTAAATCGGGTAAAAAGAAGAAGTATTTAATCTCTAGAAATATAAAGAATATTAGTAATTACTTGAAAAGCTCTTATTTAATATACGAAAATAACCTAATAGAAAAGTATATATAATAGTAATAGTAATTAATTCAAGATATTATAGACTTAGCCTAATTAAACCCGAATAAGAAGAGAAAGCTTATAAAAGAGATATCTATCAAAAAGCTATCTAATAGTATTACTTTAGAGTCTTTATTTATATATTGAGTTATATTAAATAATTAAGTACTTAGCCTAGTAAAATATTCGGAGTTTTATATCTTTCTTACTTATTTAAATAGTAATATTAATATTTACTTAGCTAATTCGTATATTACTACTAGATTATAGGTTCTAAATTAATATAAAATCGAAAAGAAATATATTTGGCTTTAATTTTATTTTTCTTATTTAAAGATCTATATTTTCTTAGATATCTAGATCTTACTAAATACTATATCTATTCTTGTAATTATAGCTTATTATATCTCTAAAAATAATAAACTAGAATTCTCTTTACTAGTACTAAAGGAAATTAAAGATTTATATAAAGAAAATAATATTATACTAATTATAGAAGCAGAACTTATTAAATAAAGTATTATTTTCAAGCTTGAATATTTTTAAATAGATAATATATCAAATAATAATACTATAATTAAAGCTCTAGGCTAAAGTAAGTATTTTTTCTCTTAGTCTAAAATTAACTAGTTTACTAATTATTTAGTAGTTTTATTTAAAAAGTATAAAATCAAATATAATATAAAGTATTACCAAGTCTAATACTAAGGCCATATATTTAATTTATTTATTAATTCCTTTTTATTTATTACTAATTCTAAGAATCTTAAAGATAATACCCTTAATATATAAGAAATAAGAGAGTAGCTAGACCTTATTAAGTAATAATATAAGAAAGAACCCCTTAAAATACTTTATAACTTTATAGTATATCTTTAAGTTAGCCTATAGAAAATATAAAAATTCTTAAAGTTATCTAGGAAAGCATACTTTATATATAATAATTTAACTAGATAGAATTCCTAAACTAAGGCTTTAAAGCTTATACTATTTTACTTCCTCTATTATATTATTAAAGCCTACTTTAAATAGTTTATTAATAATAATTATTATCTAGATAAGCTTTTAGAAAATAATTAGGCCTTACTTTATTATATTCAAGTATTTCTGGAATTTATTTCTTAAATAACTAAAGCCTTGAAATCGAATTCGGCTATACTAGATAATATTTTACCTATTATAGACTTTATCTTAGATAAATATAAGAAGGGCAAGAAGTAATTCAAGAATTATTCTATATTTAGTATACGAAAAAATTAATCTAATTAATTAATTAATTCATGAATATTTATAAATAGCGTGAATAGAATTTAATTAATATAATACTTATATAATTTAATTAGATTAGAATAATTAATTCTAATTATTCATGAATACCTTAATTAATATACACGTGACTATAGCACGTAATAGTCTAGCCTAATTAAGTAAGGTTCTTGCTCTAGTACTGCCTTAGTAAGCTTTTCTCTCTAGAAGCAAGGTAGTACTAGAGCTTGATTCTTACCTAATTAGGCTAGCCGGTCACGTGCTGCGGTCACGTGCTGCGGTCACGTGTACATTAATCAAGTTATTCATGAATATTCATGATTAGCTTAATTAATTCGTGAATAGAATATAATTAATGAGAAAATTTCATGAATAGATTAGATTAATAGCCATTAATCTAATCTAATCTATTTATTTCTCACACTGCCTATATTTAGTAAGATATTTAATTCCGGTTAGAGTAAGCTTAATAAATATTACTAAAAGATAGAGGAAACTATAGTTTATATAGCTACTTTAGTTCTTAATTCTTAATATAAATAGATATATATTAATAAGAATTAGGCGAAGAAGTAGTGGATTACTAGGGCTCAGAAGATAATATAAGAGCTTTAGGAAGCATATAAACCACGTAATATGGATATTATGTCTATTGTGGGAGGGAAACTGCGACAAGACAAAAACCCACATAAAGTACACCAGAGCGCAAAACGTGACTTGATAGCAAAACAACAAATCAAAAGCGTAAACAGTAAAGCATAAATAGTGTGCAGTATGCAAAAGCTCAATTGATTGAATACTCATGAAGGATTCTTCTCTAAGTCTACAGAAAAACCAGCTTTCTTATGTGATTTCCGCAAGTCACGTGCAAAAGGCCGCGGCCTTTGCCATGTGACCTAAACCTCAAAACCGCCAAAACAACATGATTTTCGACGAGTACGGCCTGCCGTACCACACTATTTAGCCTGAACTAAAGACTACTAATGAGTTCCTATTATTTCTAGATAAATAGAGTAGTAATATGGAAGGTTTAGAGAACGAATATACTTACTATTATACCTAGCTAGTTATTAAAATTAAGTACTTTAATATACGTAATTAGTAGCTTTAATTAACTCAATAGTAGTTATATTCTTACTTGAGTAAGCTAGCTCTTGATATTCTATTAATTCCTGTAATATTAGCTAAACCGGAGCAAATCTTCTCTGCTACTAAGCTTATTTTAATAGACCGTCGAAATAAGCTTAGTCTAAAGATAATTGAGGCTCTAGCTTGCTTGAAATCGTGGTATAAATTAAAGAAGTTTATACTAGATAATGATTTGTTTATTGGTCCTAAGATTAAAGATCAAGAATAGGGTAGTGGAAGCAGTAGAAGCAGTGGAAGTAGTAGAAGCAGTTTCTTGGTGTTTTATACTCATGTGATTTTTACGTACTCTAAACTATAGTTTAAACTGCAGTTTTCTAGTCTAAACGAACTAGTTCTAATATAGCTTCAAACGAACTAGTTCTCTTTTGATTAAACTGTGAACGGACTAGTAAAGCTTCAAAACTGCAGTTTTCCAACTAGTTGAAACTATCGACTACACTGCTGCCTTACCTTCCTCATGGCCCCAAATCCGCTGACGACCCCGGTTATTCTTTCCGGTGGCCGAACAGACTCATCACCGTATAATGCCGGCATATTGTGGAAGCCTCGCGCTGCCATCAGCATGACCTCGAACGGAGACCGGAAGCCGGCAAGGAGAATCCGACCAACTCCTTTTGAAGTACCCACGACGGTGCCTTGAGCCATATTCAATGACCCTCGGGTGATGCTTCCATCGACAGGACGTGCCTTGTTGGCTCGGCTGACTGCAATTGGAACGTTGCCTAAGCTTTTCGTCATATTGCCGACCATTCCTAGGCACGAAGAAACGACTCCTGTGATGGGGTCCCAAGGACCGCTTTCGAGATCGTACTCCATATGTCGAAGCCTGAGTCTTCATTAGAAAATGGCCTAGAATGAACAGCGGAGAGGAATACCCACAACTTCAGGTCTTGCAAGCGCAAAAGGCGGGCGTGAAGAAGAACCGTTGCTGCGAATGCGCTCAAGCATATTCCTTTCTTCCTGACCTTCCAAACCGCTACCAGATGTGGCGCCATCGAACATTTCAGGCACTGCGCCTCCGAATTCCGATGCAGGCTGGCACAACCAGCGTCCGTTCCCTTTTCGCTCACTATCAGCTCACATAATGCCTCCACTCGATCGAGGACAGCGGGTTGCAACACCTCGATGATAGCAGCAGCAAGGAGTTTCACAGTGAGCTGTTTTGCAAGAATGGGTTTTGCGCCTGCACCAGCTTTCTGAGCCATAGCTCCCCAGAAGAACTGATCACCAAAGAATGGCACGATGACACTCGGTTTCCCAGCCGCCATCGCTGCTGCTGTTGTTCTTGCTCCGCCGTGGTGGACGACGGCAGAGACGCGACGGAAGAGCCAGTCGTGTGGTACGTCTCCAACAAGGAAGACATTACTTGGAAGTTGTTGCGAGCCGAGACCGCCCCAGCCTTTGGATACCAATGCTCTCACGCCGATCAGTTCTATGGCGTCGAACATCGTCTTCGTCAAGGTTTCTGGATCGCCAATGACAATGGAGCAAAACCCTACATATATGGGCACTGACCCAGCTAGAAGGAACGCAGCGAGAGACGGGTCAGGGGCGTACTCTGTTGCTTGATTGAGGAAGTAGAACCCTGCTACAGAGATATGAGAACCCCAGTCTTGCGGCTTTGGGATCAAGGCTGGAGACCTTGTGACACGAATTTAGCTTAAGTTGACGGCAATTCCGGTCTTGGGCATTCTCACCAACAATATGTATGGGGAATTTTCAGTCGGCTCAACATCCTAGGCCCAAAAGACAACCTGATCGGTTCCAGGCCAAGAACCTTTTCTCGAAATCTGTTTTGAAGGAGCCAAGGCCTTGCCAGAGTAGTGTTTCAACCAGGGCGTAGGATACATAATTGACCACGCCAAGATCCCCATTCGAGGGCTTGATATTGGCGAGCGGGTGAGGGAAGTCTTGGGTTGCTGACCATGGCATCCTAGAGTTGAACTCCAATTAGACCGATTGAATCAATCACAGCAGCTTAAACAGAGAAAACCCGAGCAAAGCATAAGGGCAGGATATGCCCAACTAGGGAGGACACCCAGCACAACAATTCAAACTTACGTGAACATCAAATGCACGGGGACACCCAACTTTTGCCCGCCATGTACGTGCGCGAAGCTAGGCGGATTCGCAACAATCACATCCGCCACAAACGATGCCTCCTGAGCAGTCCCCCTCTTCCCCTTTCCCCCGTGCTCCAGTCACACATCCCATCACCCTCCTCAATACAAGCCCTCCAACAACCCTCCATTATACAGGCTACCATCTTCCGATGTTTAGCCACATCCCCTCCTCTTAGGATATCCAGACTCGGCAGTAGCCCGGAACTACGGACCATGAACGCCATGAGTTCCTGTGGGTCGCCGCCTATGCTGAAAAATTCTAGATTGTTTGTTTCGGCGAGTGATTTGAAAATGGGGTGGGTGGCGATACGCACGCGGTGTTTGTAGGTGGTTTTCAGAACTAGGCCGAGGGCTATGAAAGGTTGGACGTCGCCGCGAGAGCCAACGACGTGCATGACGATGTTGAGGCGAGAAGGCTGCAGATGCCGTGCTAGCGCTTGAGTTTTGAGCATGGAGTCATCGTCTGATCGTCTTACGTATGCTGGTGGTGCGGGTTTCGAGCTCTCAGTTCCGACGTCATTGATCTGCTCTTGGATCTGGGTTTTGAGGGAAGAGGAGAAAATACTGAATCGCCTCTCGAGATCGATGGCTATGCGTCCGTCCCCTAGAGAGGAAGAGGATGATTAGCCTTTAAAACTCGTTGAGACAATTAGTTCGGGGCAGAACAAAGTCCATACCAGTCACGCGTGCTTGAACTCCCACCTCAGGTCGCTCGATACTCACACCTGCAACATTCTCCGTATAGTCTGGCGGCGGAGCTTTGTGATTCCCCCTCATTGTAGATTCTCAGAGGCAAGTAAGTCTGTTCGTCAGTTGGAAAACGCGAACCGGCCGAGGAATCGTTTTGTACTCCTTCGAATGGTAAGTGATAAATCACCAAGATCCTAGGAATAGATAAAACGACGCCTGGAAGGGGGCCTGCCGATCTTAGCTGCTTCGAGGCGTTGATGTAAACGAACTCGCGTTGGACAAGAAATGCCCCATTTAAGTCAGACAAATCCCCTCCAAATGTCCTCGTATCCTTGTACATTCAGTGTCTAACCCCTTAGAAACCCGAAATTCTTGGATTTCAAAGTCCTGCGCCCTTCCAAGTTCAGATAATCGTCCAACCTTGACTGGGGGAATTGACAATTAGTCCCGCTGTTTTGTGTCCATCGCGAGACGAAAAAAAGGGGTTTGCAGGCGAGCTGAGAATCCTCGCCACTGATTGGCTGTGTCGTCAATTTCGGGTACTAGCACGGCCGGCAAAGTCAACATTGAAAGTTCTGATCGCGCGGCAGGTGGCACTGAAGTTTCCGAAAATTGATTCTCTTCCTGCAAGTGCTTGCGGGGACGCGCAATATTGTGGGAGCTGTGATGCTGTTAGAGTCTAGGCCGCGCTGTAATCTTTCCACGACCAAGCGATAGACGACAACCCCAATGAGAGGGCGTGACTCCTTGGGGGTTTGAACACCGTCTGGCCTAGGGATGAAACACAAAATCGACCGAGGGCCAAAGTTGTCACGAACATTGTAACACAAAAGAAGGCATGTCTTGTCTCAAGGCAAAACAACGCCTCAACTTGCAAATAATTCGGACGTCGCTGCTCGATTCGGATTTCAACCGCAATGCTTTGTCTCGTCCTGCTCCTGGCAACTCCATTCTTATCTTTTGCTCATCCAACTCAAGTCATCATGCATTCTACCGCCCGTGAAAAGCCGTCTTTCCCTGCCTCGTACGAGCTCTTTTCGCCAGCATTTAAACAGCCTGATCCGCCGCTTGTGAAAGCCGAATTCAAATGCAACTGGCAGCAGCATGCTTGGTAGGCTCTCCGACAATCACAGTCGCAATCAGTGACCTGATGCTTGCTGCTAATAACTGTTCATCCTAGGTCCTCCTCCTTCTCACACATCTCGTCGGGCTACCTCTACCACTCCACCACGCACTCCAAGGTCCGCGCCGACGCAACCTACGACTCGTTCATTGAATCTTCTTTGTTCGACTACACAAACACCAATGGTGGTAACCTCGTCTGGAATACCCTCTACACAATCGAGCCTTCCGTCTCTGCTGCACCGAAGATCTGGACTGGTTTCGTGAAGCCCGCTTGGGCCCTATTTGGGGAAGATACTCTGGCGAAGAGCAATGCTGTCTTTGCGGGTGTAGTGGAGGACAAATGGCTAGGTGAGGTCGCAAGTGTGAGTTCTGAGCGCTGAGAATTTCTCGTCTCTAGTGGCGGCAATACTAATTCCGTGGCAGTGGAAGATTGTGTATGAGAACTCCGGCTCGGTAACGCTGTATCTTGATTCGAGCTGCACGGTTGCGGGATATGATTTCTACGACGTGACAACGAGGGCGGGGATCGCGAATCGTTTCTTTAATATTGAGATTGGGCAGATCGATGCGAGAGTGTTCGACTTTCCCAAGAAAGAGTAGCGGAAGACAGCGAATCTTGTCCGGATTATTCAGGATCAACTATTTCCACACTCACTGCGGTGGAATCTTTCCATGCCAAGGTAGTACTGTTAATCCTCCATCTCTTGAGAGGGTCAGAACTGTCGGAAATTTCTCCTTGTGTTTCCATAGTCCTTCTGTTGTATCTGAGCCAGACAATTCCCCGGTCTTTATCGACGTTCAACGAGAGGCAATGGATTCTGTTTGTTTCTGGCACCCCAAAACTTGGAGAATCAGCTGATACATTGCGAGAATCTGGCTCGAGGTGCTCCTCGACATCGATGACAAATTCGGCGATTCTGGCCAACATATCCGCGTCCCAGATGCCTTCACTGTCAGCGTTTCGCAGCAATGCCAGAGCGGACTGGCGCAAAGGTTTGTAGCGGCATTCCAATGCCGTATAGTAGAGTGGATAACAGAGGGTTGAATGGACTTTGAAATGGTTCTTCCTGGGTTTGAGTCTCGGCATATTGTAAGGAAGATTGCCGTTGGGGTCTCTTGGCAGTTGCGACGGTGACGCATGAGTGGTGTATTTTAGGTGCACCTTAACTTGCTCCATAATTTTCTTGAACGATGAAAGTTGCTCATCGTAACAGCACTCATCGGTAGTATAGGAAACAGCTAAGTTAATCCGCGTTGTATAGTATGCCAGCAATAGCAATGCGCAACCGGCCAAAGCCTCTGGCGTTTTCACTGTCCCCTTCTGCAGGAAACCCTGAAATGCGCTCTTCCAGCGAGAAAGAATGTACATGAAATGCCGACGTTTTGTAGCGGCTTTCGGTAAATCATAATCCCGGTATGTACTGCCATGAAAGACGGTGTAAATGTCAAACCCTCGGTCTGGATGCGGACTCCATGCTGGAAAGCATTTTTCAGCACCTTCTAGAGGCGTGACGAAGTTCATGATGTTCGCGAGCTGCGCATACAGACTGTCGCGGGCACCCAATAATGTCTCGAACGTAGCAGGAATGTCCTCCCGTGTCTGAAACCAAAGTGAGGCTCGGTCTGGCTCCCATGGAGTTCGAGAGCCCATGTATTGGACAGATTGGATGTCGAGTCGTAAGAAGGCATTAGTGAGCTTTTCAAGTGTGGTGTCCATCTCAGATGTGACCTTGTTCTCCTTGAGGTGGAAGAGAGCTTGGCCGGGTGGCGGTCCACAGCTGTAAATTTTGAGAGCGCCGTCAAGATGGGTCACAGCGGCTATATCGTCTCCCCGGAGGATTTCCATGAAAATAAAGATTAGGCATGTGATCATGATCTCCTCAAGCTTTTCCGGAGCCTGGGACGATTCTGCGACGCAATGCCGCAGAATCCGAATTGCATTCGCGTAACACAGCGAAGAGAGGACCCCGAGTCTCTTGTCATTTGGACTTGATGCGAGCCTCCCATCATTTGCCACTCGCTGCTCATATACAGCGCCAAAGGCAATGGCTGCATGCTGTACGGCCGGAGAAGAGGAAGCTCTTAGGATGCCCCTTTGCCAAAACTCGGAGTCCATGGTTTCCGTAAGAACTGGTACGCAATCGTGGAGGAAGCTGTGGAAGAAGCGGTTGCTCTGTTCATTTGCAGAAAGCCCTAAGGTAGGAGCCAAGGCTACCTGAGAATCGCTCCATGGACTCATCATGCTGGTAATTAACCGGGCAAGTCCCGGGGACGACGTAGTCTGTTGATGGCTTAGAGCCTTGGCGCATTCATATCCATCGCATTTGCGTCCAGTTGATGTGCAATTCAAGCAGAAGGGCCTTCGCTCATCACACTTCACATGTCGAGCTCTATAGCACTTGTCAGCCCCCGAACATAGCTCCCCGCTCGTATAAAGGGTCAAATAGGTGACCTACCGACATGTTGGACACCCGGTTTTGCCTCGTTGGCTACCCTTTCGCGTCCGCTTCGTGGTTGGATTGTTTTTTGCCATACCTATTGCTACAGTGGGTCCGATCCAAAAGCGACAAAAAAAATAAAAACCACCATAATCGTAATTAATATAAATCGTATTAATTAAAACTATACTATATATCCTAGGGATTAATTCTATGTTCTCAAAATTATAATATCTTTATTATTAAGGAAGTTATAATGCACGTGATTAAGCGAGCAAATATATTCGCGTTTTGTATAGTCGTTTTTTTACTTTGGTTGTCACGTGACTGCCCCCCTAAGTTGACCGCTCTTCTATAATTATATTAATATCTCAATAACTACAAACCCAATCAAGTACACTTTTTAAATACTTCTAATAGCTACCTCTATGAGCCTTCAGAAGCGCAAGCGAGCTAATTTAACTCTTGATTTAATTACAGTTCTCACCCTAGCTAAAGAAGCTGTAATCCAAGCAACTATTAATAAACGGCATGGGAAACCCTCTAATATAGAGGATAATTCTAATAATTCAGATATTAAACCAAGTAATAAAGTAGAGCTTGAAGATTCGACGCTCTTTTGGGTTCAGCAGAAGCTTTTTATTAGTGGAAATAAGACGATTATTTTAGAGAAGCCTTTAGTTATATAGCAAGATCAGAGACTTATGGAATAAATTAGTAAGTTTCGTCTTATTTTCTGATTTTTATATTATAATATAAGTATACTAAGACTATTTCTAGCTTTTAGAGGCTCGTATAACTCCAAATTAATAAAGGAATTAGTAAAGCTATTAAGAACTCAATAAATATATATATATAACTAGAGGGCAAAAGATATTCAAGTTATAGAGTAATCTAGTAGGCTTAAAACCCCTATAATCGTATTATCTTTTAAATAAAAGAAGCTATAATTCGATATTATTAGGAGGCCAATTAATATCCCTAGAGATATATAATTAAAGGAAGAGCAAAGGCTTAAAGATAAAGATAATAGAACTAATGAGCTACTTTTGGATACCCTTATTAGAACCGCTTACAGAGATAATAAAGCTCTAGATATATAAATGACTTACTAAGAAGTTCTTAATAATATAGATATTAAGCTAGCTTAAACCAAAGAGCTATATACTCTATATATAATTACTAATTTATATTTATTCTGGCAATATACCTAATAGCTTATAAAGCTAGGGTAATATTGACTTGAAAGGGTTAATATATTACTTTTAGTAGCTTCTAGTAATTACTGTTTTAATAATAGAAAGATACTAGCTCGGCGAATTAGGGGGCTATTTAATTATTATTAATAGTAGTATGGTATTCTGCAGGAAACTAGAAATAGTAAAAGAGATAATGCTTCTTATCTAGATAATAAGGATATTTTTTTAGCCTATTATACTTGATTAATTAATTAAGAGCTTGGAATAATATTACTAAATAATTTCCTAAATACTATTAATTAGGAGATTTTACCTCAATTATTATTAATAATAGAAAAGCCTATTACTCGTAGTATAGCCTACTTATAGCTCTCTAGGCTCGGCTTTTATTACTATAAAACTAAGAAAGGGCTTTATATAAATAGATATAAATAACCTAATATAATTTAGTATTATTAAGAGATATTTTTACTATTAATAAAGAAGATTTTATTATATATAGTTTAATACGAGAAGAATAAAGCTAGTATATAGCATATAATTTAATCTTTATTTCTAATTAAAGTTTAGGTATATATAATATATTTCTATAATAAGAGCTATTTCTATAGATTTAATTATAAAAAGAGCCTCTGGCTAGCAAATAGTTAGTAAAAAATGCCCGGAAAGAGTAAAGGAAGGCTAATTTACGATTCTGAATTTATAGGCCCTGAGGGGTATATTAGGATACTAAATAATAAAGGCATTTTTATTCCGGACAACCCTGATTTAAATACCCGTTAAATTATATACTCAGGCTCAAATAGGGACTTCTGGTGAGATATAAAATAGCTACTAGTATAGATTACTAGGATACTCGATATATTTATATAGAAGTACCCAAACTATATAGCTATTCTAATATTTAATTAGTTCTCTATATATGCTTCATATAGCAAAGGTATACTAAATACCTTTAGTATAAATAAGGCACTAGATATTACGGTTATTACGATATACGGTACTAGTAGGGGTTAGACTAGAGCTAGAGAGGCATCTGGCATTTGAGAGAGGCATCTGGCATCTGAGCGAGGCATCTGTAGTCACCTGATCATTGCACGTGACCCCGAGCTTAAGCCAGCACGTGGGCCCGTGCGTAGCTCGCGATTATTTAGATCCGAGGCTCCTTCGAGATCCTCTTCTCTCTTTAGCTTTGAATCGTCGAAATAGAGACAGTCTAACCACGCCTTCCAGGCCCTAGATCTTGTGCTCGTGATACTAGAAGGGATTAAAAAGGGTAATATTAAGGCCTATAGAAGGGATATATACTTTCTACTAGAATATATAATTCCGGGGTTATAAGACACTATTTAAGTCCTTTAGCAACTTAATCCGAATAGAGAAAGAGAGCCTAAGGGCATGAAACAGATTCTTATTAAGTGAGGCTATAATATACCTGGCTTAAGATTTAAGTATCTAAAGGATACTAAGTATACTATATCCCTTGAATACCCTCCCGCTATTAAACAAACGTACTATTTAGCTCGTATACTATCAAATTACCAAGACTTCTTTAAAGAGAAGTCCCAAGTTAAAGAGCTTATTATAGATCGGGGATATAAGGCTATATTTTTACCGAAGTTCTACTGCAAAATCAACCTAATTAAGATATACTGGGGGTATAGCAAAACTCGATATCGTTAAGTAAAGAAGGCTAGCTTCCTAGATACTAAGATTAAGGTAGTAGAGGCACTTGAAGCTTGTTTGATTGAGACTATATAGAGATTTTATAATTATATATTCTACTAGATAAATGTATATCGGAAGGGATTAAGTATTAAACAAGCTATTTGGTATATACAGAAGCAAAAACGCTATAGAACGATATCTAAAAAGGTAATAGATAAATGGGATAATATGTAAAAGTAAGGGAAAGAAGATAGCTAAATAATAGATAAGGTTTATGGATTTAGCTCGGTTAAAAGTTAGCTTGAAACCTATGTAATTAGGGCCCTATTATGTATATAATATATATAGTACCAGAAAAAGCCATATTTAGTATTTAGGAAGGTTTACTTAAGCTTATAGGGCTTAATTATTATTATTATATTAATAATAAGGCTGGTGAGATGCCGCGATTTCCCCCTGAAGTATGGGCTCACGTGACCTTAGCGAGCAAATATATTCGCGTTTTGTATGGGAAAAATAAAAAAAGTAAAAAGGGTCCGTGTACTTTAAGCCTCAATTATTAATGAACCACAAATCGTATTAAAAATCTGATTAATAGGTATTTTTCGCCTGGTTCTATTCTATAATCGCATTACTTAGTATAAATTAATTGGGGTTGTGGTTAAAAAGTTATTATGGGCGTAAAAGAGCGACCGTTTTGTCGCTTTTGGATCGGACCGACTGTAGTGAAGGGGCCGAGTCTCTAGATCATGTCCAAGGGGTTCGCAATCTTAAGGAGTCAGACGACAGAGTCAGTAATCACTCTCTATATCCGGGGACTTTTCGAGCACCATGGTCGGCTTTGGGTGCTCGTGTTGAGTCTGAAGAAGGATTCGATGGCGCAGTGTTATGGCTTTTCGGATGGTAGCTTCTTTGGGCTTAGTGGATTCGAATTGACGACGCAGCTAATCATCGGGTGCAATCTACTTCCTTTCTGCAAAATACCAACGAGGCTCACAAGGCTGAGGTCTCCTCCACGTAACACCACAAGGTCTGCCGCCATCAAAGGAAAGTTGCTTTGGTCGACGCAGTAGATCTATGCCAGCCATGGCCGCGCCAGCACTGTACCTTCTCACCAATTCGGCCTTTGCTAGATCGTCCATGGCAGGCAGCCCTGCTGTTGAAATTTGAGCACGATATCGCTGGAATCATGAGCATATATAGAGGTATTGGCTAGCCATCTGACTCTGTCTTTCATTGCTTGAATGCTTCCCATTCAGCACCGTTTTTTAATGCCTTCATATTGTCCAGATCCCCCACCGCCATCAACTTGGATTCTATAACCCTGTCTCCTCCCACCACTTTTAACGGCACCTACATCATTTGCACACTAGACACTTGCCCCATTAGGTGGGAAAATGTTCAATACGTCCCCTCATTTGCTGGCAATGGAACATATCTTTCTCTCTTTGCAATCCTCTTGGTCGCTCAGCTGTATCTGGGCATTCGCCATCGTACCTGAGGTTTTCTGACCAGCATGGTAGTTCAACTCTAATCCTTCAATCCTCGTTCCATATTCGGTTAGTAAGCATGGCCGCTTCTACTCAGGCGCTAATCACCCTCGGCTCACCCTCGGCTCAGCCAGCTCACCTGAGCTGTCTGCGCAACATGAGCAGCCTGGGCTGTGCAGTTCGTGCTCCCCTAAATGGCGCAACTACGGGTTGATTTAAGGACGCTACGGCAACTATTATTTTTTTTCGCAAAATCAGAAAACCATGAATCGCGATTTTTTTAATGGCCACATTTTATATGGAAAACGCACCTAATTATGGCCAAATACGCAATTCCCATGCATTACAGTCCACTGCACCCAGTAATATTACTCTGTTCTTGCTTTTTTGAACTTCCCCCGATTATCCCTCTGCCTATTCCCCGGCCTATAATCACCATCCCCTGGTAATTGCTTCCCTCCATCGTCAAGATCTGATCTATTATCGTCGTCATCGTCGTCATCGTCGTCACTTGATATAACCACTTCTCGCTTCCTCTTTAATATAGACTTCAGAGGAGGTTGAGGGGATTTAGTGGGTAGAGCGGGAGCGAAGGCTAGTAAAAACGTCAGATCTACTAGTATATCTAAATCTATTAAAACTTACTAGCTATAGGAGCAGGAGCAGGAGAAACCGTAATTCTAGCTTCTAGTATAGGCATATCGTCCGAATTAAAATCGTCAGAATTCA